AAAGTAATAGTGTTTTAATAATAGAACACAGTTTTATTATTTTAGAAAACTTAATTAACCTAGGAATTTTTGTCATGTTGCTAGAATATACTTACCTAAAGAGGCAATTATTTCAGACTGACTGCCTGATTGAGAGAAAGACAGATATGGGAACCAGACCTTTTCTGCTCACCTAGTCTTCAGTTCAATCTATGCCTTTACCTGGGAGTGCTAAATCTTACAGATCTCACTTCTGAGCAGACATTCATACGATGGTGCTGTTTTCTAATTACAGTAGTAACGTTTTCACAGTCTACAAAGCTATTTTTCAAAATCATAATTCTGTCTTTCCTAATTATATATGATGATTCTCTTAATACAGTTTATCTGCTTCCTAGGTTGCTACAGTGAAAAGGCAAGAACCAGGAGAGAATGTCCATAAAGTCTGGTAAGAATAGCCTAGATAAAGTCATACTGTAGTTCTAAAAGTGGGGATGGGCAGGCTTTTTTTTTCAACACTAGTCTGGTCATCTCCCACGGCTATGGCATGCCCCTTCTTCTCTCACACATCTCAGTTAAGGCTCCTAATCAGAAAGACACTGGAAATACATAATCTATGTGTCACAAAAGGAAATCAGTGCATTCAGTACATAGAGTAAATATGTACTGAGAGCCGAGAGCTGCAGTTAATCCCAGCTTCCCAGTCAGCAGACCCAAGCAATACACATGCCTTTGCACATACAGTACACAGTGTTTTTGATGTCTCTTATGTGGGAGAAAACATGACTGTACTGTTCTTCTCTGGCAGTACCCTGCACCCCATATGCATTACAACAGGTAGGAGAATTTAATTTCCCAGCCTTTGTCCAATTTCACTGCCCTCCAAGTCAGTACAACTTCCTTACCACATTCAGATGAGCCTGGTTCATTCTAGAAAAGCAAGTTCAAAGAATCATTCACTCACACTCATTCTGCCCATACACCAGACCTGGGCAAAGTGCGACCGGAGGGCCACATACGGCCCATGAGCCACTCCTGTCCGGCCCGCCGGTCGTCGCTCCAGTCCAGTGTTCAAGCACTTGTTCAAGCCCAAGACAGACTGGATTTTTTTCACTGAAAAAGTTGAACATCAAAACCATGTATAGCTTTTTGTCTAAAGTTGATCAATTGCTTATCTTTAAAATACCGCAAAAAACCTCTTTAATATTTGTGAGGATTAACAAGTTTAAATTAAAAACAACCATAACATCACTGTTTCATTTTATTTTTAAGTAAAGTTGGTTTTTCCCCCGAACACAGTTCAGATTTTTCATGTGCCCCCCTATAGAAATTAATTGCTCACCCCTGCCATACACCATGGCCAGGGCCCAGTATCTTCATGCAACGTTGGTTGCAAAAGTAGTTGTGCTTTTCTGAACTTTGCGCAAGGAGGCATACAGTGAATCCTTGCACAAGAGGTTCTCTTTTGCTTGCCTGAGGGTGAAGCATAATTCCACCCTGCAAACTGAGATGATCTCTGATTGGCCTGGGAGTGTGATGGAAACTCCCAGCTGGCTCTGAAATGTTGTAACAACCTCTTCCTGCTTCGGCTACCTCTCATAACTTGTGCCCTCCTCTATCTTCCTTGGATCTTTTATGACTATGCTGGAGTAGCTTTTTATTCTGCCATTGTTCAACAGGATCTCAACCCAGGACCCCTTGCATTTTTCTTCCCAGAACTGAAACAGATTAGATAAAGATGTATCGAGTAATTTGCACTCTGTCGGAGCTGGGTGGGTAACCCGTCACACCATGAGTACATCTAGCCCACTACTCTTTACTCTAGGCTTGAAGGCCCTGTACACATTCAAATGTTATTGGATTCCAATTCCCATGAGCCTTTGCCAAAATAACCAGTGATGAAGTACTGTATACTGGGAGTAGTGGCTCATCAATGTATTAACACTGTTGCCAGACATTCCCCCAGACTGACAGTGACTCCACCAAAACTACGACCTCCAGCACTTCAGCTGAAATTCCTAGACATGGAAACTGGCATATTCTACTTGCAAAGCACCCACCCTCCAGCATGGGGGAAGCTGGATTTGGTGTGTCCAGAAAAATGCAGTGGTCCATTAAAAGCCGTAAACAATTATCTCTGTCCTCAGGAATACAAGTAAATATAGCACTACCATTTTTGTGCATCCATTTCACACACAAGGCAATTTCATATCTTAGAGTCATCCTAGAAAGAAAGCATTTCCATAGAGGAAATCATGTTAGAGAGGAACACATTGCATGTTGTATATGATCAACGCACATGATAATGATCCCACAGGTACGAGAAGTTGCTGCATTTTATGGGGCTTATATGTCCCAGGAAGCTGTAACCAACCAGTTTCTCTGTGTACACAGGTGCCACAAAACACCAAACATTGTCCCACACATGCCAATCCACATACAATTAGTGTGATGTTATCTGAAACAGGGAAGAAAACAGCAAGCTGTATTCATGACATGCATCCACTACTAGAATGGCATTCACCAGTGGAATAGATTCCCTGCTACACTTGCCAGCAACCCCGTCTTCTGTGGTGTAAAACAGGCTTTCACTAGGGAGGAGAAAAGTGCAAAATTCCCTTCTATGAATTAAAGCCAATGGCTGAAATCCTGTTGCTCACCACAGTAACTAGAATAGTGTGGCTTCCCACACTGAAACAGCAGGAGTTTGGTGAGTCACCTCTCTGCAAATTCTACTGTTCAATAGGCCTACTCTAGTCATGACTTCCTGTGTTAAGCAACAGGATTTCGGATGATGCACATAGCATCCCTAGCTTTTAAAATGAATTATTTGATTTGTTTAGGTAACCAAATCCTCCATTGGTGTTTGTCCCACGATATTGTTAATTAGACTTTGTACCTTTGCACATATCTGCCTTCAAATACATTGTCCCAACTGAAAAGAACCCAACTACAACATACTGCAGTATAGAGGCACTTTAAATAATACAAGGACACTTCTTTTATTAAAACCGCCCAGAGTAGACCTTTGGTCTAGATGGGTGGGATAGAAATCCAATAAATAAATAAAAAGACAAAATTTCATGATTATTATTAGACTACAGATTCTCAAACCATTACTACATCCTACCCTAGCCCATGGCCACCACTACAATGGCATGCAAATACAAGCCCTCTATGCATATTCCTCAGGATCTCTTTCCTTACCAGATTTTTTGCAAACAGCACAAGCATAATGAAAGTAACATCCCATGATCTGGTTGCAAGAAAATCCTGCAAGCCGTTTCATTAAGCGCACGAACCAGAGCTTCCCAGCACTGGAAGGGGGTGGGAAAACGTGGAAGCAAATTTGTGTCTGCTTTGCTGACGTAATTCCCTTGCACGTGTTTGCTCTGTGTGTGAGTGTGTGTGTGTGTGTGCGTCTGGCGCTGGTGCTGGTTGATTTTTTTCAATGAAAGTTTAAAAGGGGGGGGAGGTTGAGTGCATAGATTTAGTACACGTGCGCACCAGCTGGTCTGACATGATAAAAGCAGAATGACTCGGAAGAAGAGGTTCCCTGCCTGTCAAATCAATAATACATAAACTAAAGCAGATTTCCTCAATAGACCAGCACTGAGCTTATCCTATCCAAAACACAAACATACCCCAAATAACCCCACAATGCCTGAAATTTATTTAGCTCTCAGAGGGTCGCAATCTTTACTACAACTACTGTAGGAATCACCGAAGATAGGGACGAAAGCTGTCTGTATTGAATTCTTCAAGGCACTCAAACCTTCTTTCCACAAACACCGTAAAACTCCTGGAGTTGACACAGTCATATCATCCCCATCCTTTTATTACACCGATCTTCACACACTGTATATTGATCATTCAATATCATCTCATGACACAAACCAAATCACAGGCTGGTTTTCGAGCGCGTCCCCGTCAGGCGACCAGAGACTTCGCACAGGTCCCGAGTGGCACCATCCTAACCCGTCGACCACCACCACCACCCCCCCCCCCCCCCGCCTCTCCCTGGACTTCCTTGAAAAACCGCCGCCGCCATCATCATCCCTGCTTTGCATGTCTTGCGCCAGAACCCATTTCGACTCCCGAGCCGGAGGTTTAAACAGCAGTTGCTAAAAATATACACGTCGGTTTGTGATCACTGATCTGAGGTGAAACCAGTGCAGCTCTTGGCGTCTGTCACAACCTGGAGTTGGTGCCTCGCGATGAGCCCCGGGCACAGAGAGCGAGAGCGCGCGCGAGCGAGCGAGCGAGCGAGCGCGACCCTTAATGACTGGGGCGCCATTCAAAGTTCTAAGGCTCACGCAAGGCGAGGAGGAAGCGCGGGAAGGCAAGGGCTCGGAAGGCTTGGCGCGTCCGCTCTTCGCGCGCCAGGAGCGCTTCAGCCCCCGCTCCGTCTCCAGTGCCAACGCGGCTCCCTTGCGCGCGCGCTCTCTCTCTCTCTCTCTCTCTCTCGCCTCCTCTCTCTCTCGCTCTCTCTCGCCCCCCCCCCCGCCCCGCTCGCGCTTGTTCACCTGCTCGGCTTTCCCAGAATCCTACTCGCCCCTTGCCCCGCACAATTCGACTTGAGCCTGGGAAAAAACCACGAAGGCGCGCGCCGCACCTCGGGGGCTGGCCGCGGCCAAGTCACCCTTTTCCCCCGACTGCGGCGCGCGAGCCGCCCGGGGCGAAGACGCGGGAAGGGACCGGGGTGGGTGAGGGGG